ACTGTCGGTTCACACCCCATCACAAGCCAGCAAAACACCCACGAAACAAAGAAAGGTCTGTCACAGCCAAAAAATACACTCCAGACACGCTGCTGGCACTAGAGGCACAGCATGGCCGCGTAGTGACGGCCCCGACCACTGCCGCTCTATATATATCGTCACAAGGATGTAAGAGCGCAAGAGCGAAAAAAAACAGAAAAAAAAAACAAGGAATCTTTTTTTCGTTTTTTTATCTTCTTCCTTACAACTTCCCTTGTTCAGAACCTCTTGCGTACAAGGCCGCCCACGTGGACGTAGGTTGAGCGGTATGTCACAGCCCCTCGTTTGTTGTCCTCTTCTCCCTCTCTGCCTACGGTTCACCTCTGTTTGAGGATATATATATATATATATAGCCTCCTGATGAGTCGGTGAAACTCCGACGAAACAGTTTGTCACAGTCCCTCGTTTGTTTGTCCTCTTCTCCCTCTCTGCCTACGGTTTACCGTCGGCAGTTCTATTTGACGATATATAGTCTAACAGAGCTTATATATTTTTTAATCCTTTTTTTTTTCTTTTAATTCTGTTTTTTCCTTTTCGAAGGAATGATCGTGGGAATGACCGGCCCCGGATCATTCAGAAATAATTTTGATTTTATTTATTCAGTTCCATCTGGGGCGTGGTCCCACTAGCAAAGAGGATCGGACCGAGTGCCTGAATCTGGACGAGTTTATGGAGCGGTGCAGGAAATTGAGACTGAACTTCTTTTCTGCATCTCTGCATAAAACACATTCAGATTCAGGATCTTGATCCTATGCTACCTTCTTCCCCCGAATACAACGTACGGTCATTATAGCTGCATTTGGGGTATATTTCCGTCTAAATACAGCTATAATGACCGTACGTTGTATTCGGGGGAAGAAGGTAGTGGGACCTCGGCCCTGGATTCGAACTAAGGTCTGCATTTCAACATTTTTTGGGTGTACCAACTGAGGTCGGCCCGCTTGCAGGGGGAAAAGTCCATTTTGCCGCGAATTATAAATGTGTCTACTAGCGATTTTTTTATATTTTTTTGCCGCGCATTGATTGTGCGAGCGACCCTTCGACCGTCCTCGTACTGTCTGTCGGGATGAACAATTTAGTAATTTACCTATGAGGGCTATGATAAAAAAAAAAAAAATCGAAAATAAACACTCCGTAAGGAAAAAAAGAAAAAAGAAAAAAAAAGAAAAACAAATTCTATCAGTCTGTCTACTCTGGCGATGCGTGTGCAATGTAGCACATCCTTCGTTTTTTGTGCAATCTACTCAAGGAGGATTTGTATTTTGTATTTCCTTTCAAGCCGAGACACTTTGCGCAAATTAATGAACAATTCTCCTAATTAATGCAATACCTCGTCGTCGTTTCCCCTACCGAA